TTACATTAGATGGGTTATTTTATTTCAAATAATTCACTTCTCATTCAGTAATTTTACTTTTAAAAGGACTTTTAAATCTGAATTTCAGTAATCAAATGAAAATAGCAACTAGTGAGAGATGTGAGATTAATTAGAAATGTTACCAAAATTAAAAGGAATTTAAAAAAAATTATCACAAGTTTTGCAAATACTTGGGTAGGCTATGTTAGCAAAATTCAAACAATTCAACTGATTTCAAGTCACAGAAATTTTTATCTTCAAATTTTAGGTTTCTTACTGAAGTACTTCTTCCTATAGTGAAAACTGAATTCCAGTTGCTGTATGTATATCATCTTGTGGGACCATTTTTACAAAGATTTCAACAAGAGAGAACTCGGTGTATGATAGAGGTAAAAATATAATATGGGTTTTCTGTGATAAAATTAAATTCTAAAGATCTATTTAGTTTTTTTTTCCCCCAGTATTTTTCAAATTGTGTATGATAACCATTGGTAGTGAAATCAATTTAGTAGGACCTGAGAGAGATTTTAGAGAACTCAGTGTGCCCATGAATTTATAATGAATTTGATGTGGCATGTGTTGAATTAGAGATGCAGGGGGAAATACCCATCATCAAGGTTGAAAAGAAGGTAAAGGATAGAGAAATGCATTTGAGAACCTCTACTATAGTACAGATGAATTAATTAAAATCATGGGAATAGATGAAGTTAATCACCTATAACAAGAGCACAGAGAAAATGAGCCAAGAATAGAATCGTAAAGAATGAGCCACCAAAAAGAACTAAGAAGGTACAGTCTAAAGTATCGCTGAGATTGCAGTTTCCCCAGAAATTGAGAGATGGTTTCATGAAAAGAGATCGTCTATCTCTTAATTTTAAAAGAAATTACTAAGTTATAGGTAGAAATTACTAAGTTATAGGTAGAAATTGCATTTAAACCCTGTTGGGGACATTTTGTAGCACCATTGATTCCATTACAAATGCAGGACATGTGTCTCCCAAGTGCATAGATAATGTACGATCAGCAACACTTCTTCAACAAATATGTTATCCTTCTGTGCCAGTCTTGGAATGGAGTCCAGCTGCATCGTGCCCAATTATTGAACCATTTTGACCATTTACATAATTTTATGTTATTTGTTTAATAGATCGGTGTGGCATTTTATGACATGTTGCTGAATGTAGACCAGTGCAGTGCCCACTTAAATTACATGGATCCCATCTGTGACTTCCTGTATCATATGAAGTATATGTTTACTGGGGATAGTGTAAAAGAGCAAGTAAGTTAACCTTAATTATTTTTTAATAATGTTTAGTTTAGAAAACTTGAACATATGGTGATAGATTTTTTTGTGTGGGTGAGTGTTAATTTTTTTTTCTTTTAAGGGGAAATGATTGATATCAGACCTTTTGAGGCTACATGAGCATATTATTTTGGATATAGTATTAAAAGTAAATACTTATGTTATAATTTCTCACACTTTTCTCCCTTGATATTTGCAACAAGACATCTGAAAAAGATCTAGGGGAGTTGATTAACACTAATCTCGTTAGGAAGAAACAGTCTGGTATGGCTACTAAAAAGACCAGAAAGGTGTATTATGAGTGAAGGAGGTCCCACAGTAAGGGTAGATCTGATATTATTTAGTTTGAATTCCAAGTATAAGTCAAGACCAAAAAATATTAGCTTTATAGATAGATGTTACAGTCATACATTATTCAAAGAACTTCAAAATATAATTGTGCTCCATGCTTCGTGTTTCTGTGAAGATGGCATTTTAAAAAGATGATCACCTGTTGCATGTGTAATATTTCCAGTGTAAACTGTATGAGCTTTGGGCAGTGGGATGACTGGCTAGCTAGGTAAATGGGTATATTTTTATAAGTACATGCATAGATAGATAGATATAGATAGATAGATAGATATAGATAATGCACATGCACACACACATATATAAATGTGTGTGAGAGAACACAGGTTTTTCTTCATATGAGAGAGAAATAATTGTATCTGCTTTTGTTAAAACACAAAACATAGAGAAACTTCTCATCTACCCTACTCCCTAGTTTATTGTCTCAGGATAAGTGTAAATCACTTCTTTTAAAAGCGGGAAATTAAAGTTCTCTAGTTAAAATATTTTTAATGTGTTTTTTATTTCTTAGGTAGAGAAGATTATCTGTAATTTAAAACCAGCTTTAAAACTTCGTCTTCGATTCATCACACACATTAGCAAGATGGAACCCTCTACAGTGCCTGCACAAGCCATTAATAGTGGGTCTCCAGCACCTCAGTCTAATCAGGTGCCAGTGTCTTTACCAGTAACTCAGTGAAGTCAGGGTGTACTGTGGTGAAAATGGAAACACATTTGTTTTTGAAAGTGGACTCAAATCTATTAAATCTGAACATGATTATACTACAAAGTGAAGTAGTAGAAGCAATGAAGTTCAGATTGTTTTATTTTGATTCAAATGGTGAATCTGTTGAGACCTCCTAACTCTCATCTCCCTATCTATACTTGTCTCTAAGAGATCAAGTGAGCTACATGTTGTTCATATCCGTAAGAATTTATTAGAGCTGCCTTGGAACATGGAGATATCTGTGATCAAATGATTTATTAGATACTCTCAGTCTTTTTTATTCTAGCCATTGGTTTCGTTTTTATTTTTTATTATTAATGACTTAGTCCATCTTGAAATACATTGTTTTAAAGGCACCACACATGTAGAGTGGTTACTGCAAATCCTTTTATACATAAATCTCTTTTGTTGTCTCTTTGGGATAAGAGATTTTTGTCAAGTAAAGAACCGTAGATTTCATTGTATTGCAGAAGCAAACACAGTTTTATATTTTTAAATGGCTTAAAATTTTTATCGTAGATTTCCAAGTAAATGAGCTAATGTTTCTATTGAGATAGATTAGCACGTTTTTTCCCTTTGCTTGGGACTTGAACTTAGTGTGTAAAATGAGTTGGAATCATGTAAGTAAATGCCATAGCTGGAAATGCATAAACTTAACAAAATACTTAAATGGTGATTCTCTAATCTGTTTTTAAAAATAAATTGTTTTCCAGGTTCCAACTCACCTAGCAGCTGATCTGATTCTTTGAATTTTTATAATCTTACAATGTTTAAGTATTTATTTTTTAAATACTGTGTACATTTTGGTTCTTTAAGGTTTATTAGATTTTGAGACACATAATGTTAATTTTGGGGGGAAATGGCATTAAGATTGTAAAAGACTTGTAAAATAATTAGTAAAATCTGTTGAATGAATAAACTATCTAGTTGGTTACTCAGTTTGAATGAGCGTCTGCTGTGTGCCAGGCAGTGTGCTGGCTGGGTTACAACAGAGAACTGGGCTGCTTCTATGGGTTGTAGAGTATAGTCGACGACTAACATTGACCTAGGAATTAAGACTTACTAATTTTTCTTTAATTAGTGAAGTTTAACCAACTATACTTCAAATTTTTATTTCTAAATACATTCTTCCTAGACCTTTATCTTCTTCATGGTTCATATTATCATAATCACTAAATCTTTATTTGCCATGCAAGTCCATCTTATGGTTTATATAATGGTATAGTAATTATTCTAGGCTAATAATATTGTTTAAATTCTCCAGAAATTTTATGCTAGAAATGAATTCACATATTACTCTTAACATAGTCTTAATATTGTCTTGCCACCTCAAAAAATATATTGCTTTGAGATCCTAGAATGGGAATAATTATGATACTAGTATATTATACAAATAGAATAAAAGAAATGATAATCAGTATCACTTTCTCAAGGACATACAATCCAATTAATTTATTAAAAATTCTGTTTTTCTCTCTAGCTTAAAAAATAATGGGAATATGGTTTTCCCCAAATAGGCTCTTAAAAGAATTATTATTAATCAGAGACATTAATAGAAGACAGAAGCTTTGAGTATAGAATGTACTGGGAGGGATGCCTTTATTACCTTTATTATACCCTGAAAGTTTTGGGTTGTTTTTTTTGTTTTTTGTTTTTGTTTTTGTTTTTTGAAAATTAATAGTAACTTTAAGTGACTCTGTCCAAGAGGACTTTCTGCAGTGATGGAAATATTCTGTGTCTGTGCCATTCAATACAGAAGTTAGTAGCTACATGTGTATATTGAGCACTTGAAATGTGAAACTGAATTTTAAATTTTTCTAAGCTTTAATTAATTTAGAGAACCACATGTGGTTGCTGTATTGGACAAAATACTTAAAGCAAGATCCAGCATAATTGCTCTTATCTAAAAGTAATTCAGTAAAATATTTATCTTACAAAGTCTGTAGTGTGAACAGTTAGGTTTAAAGTTCTGGGCTGCATGTGAAAAATCAGATAGTAGAGGCTCTGACATATATGACTGTTACAGTAACAACAGTATGAATCATGGAACCAACTTCATTACAGAGTTCACGCGTGTTCTCTATAAGTTGAGGAGGAGAACTTGCTCCCTGGTCTTGATTATAGTTTACTTGTTTATTTTTTCTACTCTCCTTACTATATTCCAGGGCCAACATGAGTTTTTTCGGATGTTTAAAGATTTCAGCTAAGGAGTCATGTAATTGCAATGAGTGAAGGGTAGGGTATTTGGAAATCACAGATAATTTATGTAACATCCCTATCTGAATTAGCAGATTTTAGAAACAGAGCAGTTTGATTTCTTCTGCCTCTGAAAAGGTAGTCATGCTTCAAATACAAACAATATCATGTTTGATGTTTAGAAAAAGTAAAATGTGGTCATCTAACATTAATGAGCTTGGAGATTGCTCACGCTTTGCGATTACTCATTTTACAGATGAAGAAACCAGAGCCAGAGCATTTAGTTTCACCAAGGTCTTACAGTGTTTGAGGGATGATGATTTCACTGGCTTTTAAAATTCTTTTAATAGTTTTAAGCAGGATGTGTGTGTGTGCGTGTGTGTGTGTGTGTGTGTGCGTGTGTGTGTGTGTTTTGCATATATTTAGAAACGTAGACATGATAGAATATTATTATAAAGAGTTTATTATAAAAATCACATCTTTTGAACAACATGGAAGTATGGTCCCTTTTCAAGTGGGGTAGTTTTATCTCTTGATATCAGGAATACCACTCTATGTGTGGGAGTTTATATAATTTTTACTGCCAGCAAATTTTTATTTGGGAATTAATGTATACGTCTCTCTCTAAAGATAAGTCTTCTACCGAAGTGGGAAATATAAGCCTTTTAATTTTACAAAAAATTTAAATTTCCAAATCTTGAGTTTCACACCAAAAGGGAATTGATACAGTTTATGTTAATTGCACTAATATTTACTAAGGCAAAACATTTTTCCGAAACACGTAATCTTTAAGAGGATAACTGTCTAAGTTTAAGTAAATTATTAAATTTGCTAATTATGTCATTAGCTGTGAAATTTTTATGTAATGTTTCCACATTTACTTAGGTGGGTTAAGGTAGTCCATAGGCTTGTGATTACCCTCTCTAGCAGCTCCAAAACAAGCCAGGATTATCGCTACTGCAGTGTTGACTGTTCGAGTTACTTCTTCTGCTGTCTTCCCCAGAGATGGGTTCACTTCCATTATATCTAATCCTGACAGTAGCCCTACAACAACAAATGTCAATAAGGTAATTTGTTAAATAGTTCACATTTTAAATTCACTATTTTCGAAATATTATCCAGGAGTGTAAAGAGATGGTGACCAATTGAAACCACTTTAGTTATTGCATCATGTGGTAGTCATTCTGGAAGTGTCAGTTGGGGCTTGATTTTTATATTGGGGTATAAATATATATTGGCCATGTGTATGCTTGTTTCTTTAGTCACTCAGATTTATACCTACCTGTTTTGTAAATTTCTTCTGTAATGTAGAGACCTTCTCTGTAAGACAGACCTCCGAGGACTGGTGTGCCAGTAGCTGGTGTGAAAGATGGGTCCAGTCCATCAACATCGAAGCTCAGATGAATTGGCCTTTTCTTTCTTTTAAGAGGTGAGAAAGGAATTTAGTTTAAAGTTGTGATTTAATATTTAGTAAATATAGTTTTTACCTTTTTATAAAAAGTAACAACCTACTGAAGTTCCATGATTTTACGTAAAGGCTTTATTAATAACTTACATTGATTAGTGTCAATAGCAACTTCTTTTAATAATATTTATGTTGGACACACATACACGTATCATACCTTCCTAGTAGATAGCTGAGTGCTTCTTCCATCACCTTGCCAATTCCCAGTTTATCCACTTGAGTCATTGAAAAGTATTTAATACCCAGAGTTTTCAAAATGTAGCTATGAAAGTAGAGATATTAAGATAATCTACAATTAATAAGGAGGCTGACTTTATACATTGTTTCCTTTTAAAGAAAAGATCAGTGTGATAAGGTACATAAAATATTTAAGTTCTGTGAACTGTATGTATATATCAATATATTGTAATAAGTCAACTAAGATAAAAATCTGAATACATATATATGTATTTAAGTATGTACATATGTGTTTGTGTGTGTGTATGTGTGTGTGTATAATATAAACTATATGTAGATGTAGATATATAGACTTGGTGCTTAAAATAATTTTTTCTTACTGGTTTGGTCAGTGCACCTAGCACTCAAAAGGACAAAAATGAAGATAAATTGCATCAAGGAATAAACTTACTGTTCCCCAGGGTCCACGTCTCTCAGGCCAATGTACACAATATCTTTGGCAGATATGCAGGGAGTCACCCAGGAGAATCCTGGTACATCAGGAATCTAAAATTGTAATGTTTCCATTCGGTTATGGATATGCTTCTCGAGCAAATCTTACACTGAAACTTAAGGACACTTACTGGATTGCATAGTCCTTATATTTAGAACATAAAATGTGGGGAAATCATTAAAAGACAATACAGAATTTAGAAGAGAATGTGGTATCCTTGGTTGCCTTGTGGTATCCTTGGTTGCTTCAGCCTTATCCAGCCTCACCCTGGGCCCAGACCAAATCTGAATCATTTGTCACTGTTTACTGCTCTCTGCACCATTTCCGGCAGTGTTTACTGCTCCGTGCCCTGCTTTCCCAGAACTCTTCTGTAAAGGAATCAGTGTGCTTCCATTATTTCCATTCCTTCTTTACTTCTCTTTCTCAGTACGGACTGAATCCAGAAGATGGTGCAGAGTGACTGAGGGAAATTTTTAACCAAGCCTTTGGTTGATCATCAAATGTCTTGGAGCCAGACTTGGCTTATACACATTTTGCAAGTGTATAAACCTATCACTTGGTCATCAATTCAGAAAATGTTATTTCTGGGCATTTAACATAAGAGTTTTGAATTCCCAAGTACCATTATAAAGACCAATAAACTATAGTTGTATCAATAAAAATTGTTTTATTGATATAGCATGCCAATAAAAATTATGAACCACAATGTTAAATCTTCATCTAGAATTTTACCTTCTTTGAGAAAAGAGGTTACTAGGGAACAAGGAGGTAGTTCTTTCTCATATGATTTAGATATGTACTTCTCACAATAAAGAGATTAAATAACAAACCATAGTAATCCACATTTTAAAACTCCGTTTTTGAAAAGGCCCTATGATGCGGAGGGGACACTTGGCAAGAATGAGAGACTGCGTGGCATGTAGCAGAAAGAGGGTGGCATTAGGAGGCTATTTCTGGCTCTTGGCTTGGGCAGGTTGGTTAACCCTTGAACCTCTCTCTGCTAACTTGCTTATAAAGGATTACCCTCTGCCACAAACTATAAAAGGCAGTTTAAGAATCAAAAAGGAAGATATATATAAAGTCAGTTTGCAAACTATCAAGGAAGGTAGAAGTATAGAGCCTCACCACATTTATCCACCAAACCTTTGCTTATTGGCTATGAGAAAACAACTTGATATTTTACCTAGAATAAGATGGCATAAAGGTTCTGCCACCTCCTGAACTTCTGCTAAAGTTTATTATTTTGTAATAGAATACCAAGTAGCCTTTACCTTTCCCTTCAGTTCCTTCAGGAGGAAAGACACAGGTTGTCCATGCAAGTTCCCACTTGTGGTTGTCAGTGGAGTGTTGATATCGGTGTGAGCATCCACCCAAATGACACAGAGATCTGGGTGGACTTTGGCATGGCCAGAGATGCTTCCAATCGCCAAACTATAGAGGAAAAAGTGTGTGTGAACATCAGGTTTGCAATATTATTACATACATCATATTAACTCACTTAATGCTTTGCTTGATTTTTCTTCGTCAAAGTGGCTAATTTTTCTCGTAGGTTTTTAAATTGAAGATGCCAACCAAATAATTATAACCATAGAGAAAGTAGAGCTTACTTACACTTAATACTTACTAACAAGTTATATTCACATCAAAGCATTACTAAAAAATGTGTAAATTTTTTTAGAAACCACCTTCTAACAAAATTGCAAATTATAGTTTCACCAAAAATTAAATTTGCATAAAAACACCAGCCCCGCAAGCAGTTCCTTAGAATGGGACAGTATTCCATTTTCAGAGTTAAAGCAGGCTTATTTTCTGCACTCTCATCTCAGTAAATATTTACTGAGTGAATTATGACAGAGTCCTTCTATTTTTCTTAAAATCCAATGCTTTACAATTGGGGAGCATCACTCAGAAGCCGTTACACCCACTCCGGCCAGCCGTATCCCGGTGCTCGCTCACTGTTCAATGCTCAGATCCTCTCTTTGTACTTTCTACTCTCCTGCTGCACACTTAGACACCCGCTCTTAGCCAGGTCCAGAACCCTCAGAGTTCATCTTAAACACTCCAAGCTTTAGAAAGTTTGCCTAAATGGAACAGCTGAGTAATATCCAACACAAAAGTTAAAAGATTAGGATTTTTTATACACAATGCCTGTATTGTCCCACTCACGAACGTTTCAAGTGTCACTCAGAGAATCATGAACCTTTCAGTTCTCAGAATGAGAGAAATCATGCCTGGATGTTCAGGTATTTTTTATTCAGCTTGATGTTTGTTTTCCCTTTAATTTTCTTGTCTTTTTCACCACTCTTAAAATTTCCATTAAAAAAATTTTCCACTTAAAATAGAGAGTGAGCCCCAGTTTCATACTTGCAGTTTTGTCACAGTTCAGCTCTAGAGGGAAAAACTGAGGGGGCTGAAGTATTTGACTCTCGCATTAAGAGCCCACTCCGGCCAGCCACTTCCCGATCTAATCATACTTCCCGATCTAATCATAATTCCTTTGGTAATGTATTTGTGGACCTTGAGAGTAAACATTAAAAAGATTCATGCACAAAATTTATCTTTGCCACATTATTTGTAATAGTGAAAATTTGAAAATAACCTTAATATCTGGCAATATGGATATATATAGTGACATAATACCTTAATGAAAAAATATGCAACAGTAAAAGCTTATATATATCATAAAGTAACAAGGAAATTGTACTATAGATTAAGGGCAAATCATAGGATAACACATAAAATTGTTAAACAAAATCGTACAAGGGAAAAAATGTAGCAGGAAAGAAATAAGCCAGATTTTCAATTCTGGTTGAAATGGTTAGAGAACTACAATTACCACTGTTTTGTTTTTTGTTTTTTTCTTTTATATGTGTGTATTTCGAAAATTGTATGATTATTACTTTTATAATGGAAAACACTTTTAAATGTTGACCTACATGGGTTGTGCCTATTATCAGTAATCAGGTACAATCAGCTGACTGAGAATTCCCTCAGTGCTTATTTATTTAGAAATGTAAGCCTGTGCCGACTGTTTTACTGAAATTCATTCATATTTTATATATTTTCCGCTGTAATAAAGATTTCAAATAGTTAAGTCTATGTTTCTAAAATAAAGTAGTAGCCCGTGAAAAAATTTTAAGGCAGAAAAATCTGTATAAATTTTCCCCTCCATATTTCTCTCTTCCCATGGTTTTGGTTATACTTCCTCTATGCCATTTGTGTCAGATTCCCATAGAGATCATCACTGCACAAGACCTGTGGTCTCCACCCAGTACCAGGCTGGTCCTTCCATTCCTCTTCACTTCTGCCACCACACCAGCCAGCTGCTCGTTCGCCTTTCCCACAGTCCGTGGATTCTTCACGATTTGAAAGGGGCTGTCATTAGGGACATCAGCAAAGGGCAGGTCCCCATAATCTTTTACATCACACTCTGTAATTAAAATTAAATGTTGCAGGTTACTAAATAAAGATCACAAAACAGTCTGTGCAGGACGATATTAAATTTACGAAATAGGTGTTCTAAAGTATAAGGATACAAAAAGTGTATCAGGACTGCATAAGTTGCGAAGGTAGAAACCACGTCTGCTTTGCCTGATATCATCTCACCCGTGCCGCACACCAGTGCCTGCTGCGCACTGGGATCTCAGTACTTCTTGAATCCATCCAGTTAGGCTGGTAGATACAACAGGGATAACCTGGTTTGGGCTTAATGGGTAGTGGCTGTCTGTCTCTTCTATGTGCTTTCTACTTTTCTACAATAAACATGTTTTACATTTGTAATAAAGTAGTAGTTTTTTAAAAATAACATTTTATTTGTCTATTTATTTATCTATTTATCTATATCTGTCTGTCTGTCTGTCTATCTATCTATCTATCTATCTATCTATCTATCTATGCATGCCCCGAAGAAAATACACCAATATTTTCTAAATTTCTTGACTCTCTATTAACAATCCTTGGTTTCAACTCAATCTGTCACCTGCTGAAGCAGTTTGGCTCCATGCTCTGTCCTTTGTACCTGCCTCATGGTAGTATTGTCAGAATTAAATAAGACTATGTTGTTACCCTGGTGCCTAATACTTTTAAAATAAGGTAACCCAAAATTCCTAAAGACTTGAGTGCACTTCCTAAAAGGCCCTGTATTAGATTTCAAGGTACAGAGCTCCACATAAAACTGTGATAGGAGCTCAGTTCAGTGTTCTGAGCTAACTAGCCATTGTGTATTGTATTTATTCTTGTCTGTATATCCATGATTCAGTAAAACCTTCAAGAGATTTAACCTGATATAAAATGTGACCCAACGATACTTGTTAACTGAGAGACTAGTCCAGTGCATTTATCCAGGTCTTCTATTCTCTACTGAGGTCTCTTTTTGTTGTTGTTGTTAGCTTTATGAGGTATAATTCTTATTTACTAAAATGTATTCATTTTAAGTGTACTGGTCAGTGAGTTTTAGAAATATCTACAGTCTTTCAACCATCATAACAAGATTTAGATCATTTCTATTTCCCTGCAAAGTTCCTTCATGCCCCTTGCAGTCAAAGTAGTCAACGCATCCCATGGTATGGATGTGCTACTTTTTATTTGTCCATTGACAGGTTGATGGGCATTTTGTTGTTTCCACTTTGAGGCTTTTATAAGTAATGTTGCTACAAACAAACTTCCAAGTACAAACATGGCTTTGTGTGGACATATGTTTTCACTTCTCTTGGGTAAGTACCTAGGAATAGATTTGCTGGGTAAAAAAGTAAGTGTATGTTTATTTTTAAAAAAATTCTGCCAAACTGCTTTTCAAAGTAGCTGTATCATTATGCATTCTCATCAGAAATATCTGAGGATTTCACTTGATCCATATTCTCACCGACACATCAGGGTTTTGTACAGAAAGATGACATTTACTTTAGCCTATACTTTTAAAGTACATATCATTTTTTTTATTTGCAAGCTCGTATATATTTATGTATATGTGTATGCACACACATATTATTACTGTTTCATTTCCTCTTACGAATAGGGGTCCTCTTGTGGTAGCATACTTCCTGTTCCCCCTTGTCTTTCGTTATCAAACCCCACTCCCCATCCACACACCCCAGCCCCAGTTCTTGCACACACAGATTCTCTTATTCGATAGCCTGGCTGGAAAGACAAAATCTTGAGTAAATAAACAATATTTATTGAGCATTCTCCACATATGCTGCATTAAAAAAAAAAAAAAAAAATAGGAAGACTATAGCCAGTGCCATAATTCTGTGGTACAAATGTCATTCCAGACACATCTCATTTTAGCAAGAGCCTGCTCCTTCCTTCAGAGTGGGAAGAAAATAAGGCTGATCATCTTTCAACTGAAATTTTACCTTGTTCTTTAAGTTTCTCGAGCAGGCCAGCCTTTCTCAATACTGTAGGGCCTTCTTCCACTCCACCTCGTGGCTGGACAATTAAAACAATAAAGTAATTCAGACACTAACTTGACCATCAGATGCCCCAATAGGAAACTTTCGTTATTTAATCAGTTGAATAGTAACTATCATTTTTGGAGTTCCTACAAAGCTAGGAGTATAGATTATCTCACTTAATCATCACAGCAAGGTAGATTGGATTACTCTTATGTCAGTAGGGAACTAGAATAAGAAAAGTTATATAATTTTCCTACAGGCCTGCAGCTAACAGTGGCAGAGCCTTTGAATCTTGTACAATTTCTTGGGATGCCAAAACCTGCATCCCTTCCCATTGTTCTGTTACCAACATAGCGAACACTTTTTTGTGCAAAAGCACTCTGATAGATGAGGATACAAGAAATCAAAGGAGAGGGTTTCTGTCTTTGAGTAACTTACAAGCTCATAGGGGATTTGCATATTTACCCCCAGTTAGAGTACTTAGAGATTTGCGTCAGAGGAGATACAAAATGTCATAACAAAAAAAGGACTCTGCTAACTCCCAGGGACAGAGTTTCAGGTGGAGCAGGTGACATTTCAGCTGAGTGTTGCAACTCGAGTTCAGGAAAATGAATGGGTTGATGGAGAAACTTTGCAAACCAGGGGAACAACTTGGGTAAAAGCATTTTTTTAAAAAAAGTGACATGAGAGAGACCTAAATGCAGATCATCACAGTAGTGCTTGGGGAGAAAGCAGGCAAGGGGGAAAGTCATCACCGGGGAGCCGATACCACAAAGATCAACCTAGTATTTCAAATTCTGATCTGCTTAATAAGTACGGTTGACGAGAATTCTACCCTTGTGTTTACGTCAGGGAAGCTAACATGATCTCTCTGACTCTACTTTCCAGCAAGGTTTTTAGATACAAAATTATTTTGTGTTGTCAGATGAGAAGAGGTGCGAAAAGAAATGTGTGTCTATCCCTAAGACTGGGCGGTGGCACCAAACCAAACAAATATTTCTTCCCAATTCCAATAAGCAGATGGCTGCCAGGCAAATCCTTGATGTCAAATTCCTGTCTCTGGCAGCAAGGGACCCCACATGCTCACCCGACACATTTCACTCCTTTACTTCATTCCCTTTTGCATGACCTGCCCATCCCCATCAATCAGACATTCTCTCCTCCTCTAAATCCCAGTACATGCTGCTTGGCTCAAATTTTGCCTTTGTTTTTGTGTTTTTCATTTTTTCTCCATTATCACATTTCGGTCCACAGTTCTTTATATTTGCGGGACTGTATTTTGTAGTGTAGGGCTGGCATTTAGTGGATACTTAAAAACTGTCAATTTATAAAACTCCCTGGCCTTTTATCCCTCTCCCTTTTAAACTTTAGAACAAATCTTATAGACCCCTTAGTTGACATTGTATTTGCGTTAACACAGTCATTACATTTCCCAGAGGGACACTTTTTAGCATTCTTTTTGTTTGATTCAAACTGCTTCTCATGACTAGTTTTTTCTCATTGCCTAGTTATTCGGCCCACTTTGTAAATCACTTGTTAGCTCTACTGACTTTGAAGCTGGGCCCCAATTCCTAACTGGCCACAAGTGTAAGATCCACTGTGAGTCTAAAGAGGCATCACTGCAGGTCAGGGACACAGGCTTTGGGATCAAACAGTCCTGGCTAGAATCACACAGTCAAGGCTGTGTGACTTTGAGCAGATTACCAAACCTCTTTGAGCCTTAGTTAACTGCAAAATAAACATAATATCTACCTTATTTTTTGCCACCATCTCACTCCTACATCACACTGCCTAACAAGGAGGTGAAACAGGGTCTGGAGTACTTTCTCAGACTCAGTCTTCTAGTCGTCTGCCCTCTAATTCTCTGGTTTGTTTGTTTGCCAAGCTTTTACCTCCCTTAGGTGAGGACAGATGATATATGTTGGCCATTTTTTTTTTCCTCTATGCTATGGCTTACTGTAGAAAAATCTCTCTCTCTCCCCGCTCCCATGTCTCTCTCTCTCTCTCTCTCTCTCTCTCTCTCTCTCTCTGTCTCACTATTGTGAGACAGTAAGCTTCATTCTCATAGGGCCATGTTTTAATGAAGAGCTGTAGGGGGGCAAAAAAGAGTTACTGAGAACAGAAAATGCATCAGGCTATATTTCAAAATATTACCCCCAGAAGGCTGTTATTATCGGCATAAGGCCTTCTACTGAGGTGTAGGGTCCAGAGCATATTCATGATGTTTCCTTCTTTCTTTCCTTTTTTTTCCTTTCCTTCATTTCTGTTTCCCTTCCTCCTTTTCTTCTTTTATGTCAGTTATTTCAGTTCTATCTTTGTTAGAACCTGTCCTAAGAATAAGTGAGCATATTGTAGATTTCGCAAGTAACCTATCATTAAAAGAAACACTTCTGTGTCAGCAGAAATGTCCCTGGTTCTGGGCGAGACCTTTGGAAGCTTTCCAGGGGAAGTGAAGTGCAATTTATTGACAGTCCACATGCAGTTAGGGTCTCTCTCCTCTGACCTTTCCCATTTGGTTTTGCAATATAAAGCCAGAGTGCAAAGCAAGAGTTCAAAACTAAGTGGACAAAGAGAAAGTTCTGAGAAACCTGAAAAAGACTCCATTTAAAAACATCAGCCGTGGAGGTGTGGGACCTCAATGTACACTTGGTCTTGTTTGCTTTTGTTTTTGTTTCTTTTTTCTTTTTCCTCTTTATGCACCGATGCATGCCAAAGTCTGTGTCTGTAATTTCATTATGTCTACCAGAATGAGTGTGCCCAGGCAGAAAACAAGACTGCATATTTCAATGTTGCTGGCTTGTGTTGGCAATCCGAGAGTTTCATAAATCTATTAGTCTTTTCACCATTGCCAACTTATAGATTTTCTTTCTTTCATTTTTCTTTTTTCCTCCCTTAAAGAGAGGCGCATGAAGGATTTTACTTAGTCCATGAATAAATATTTTTCTACACTCATTAAAGCCCTCAAATAATATTAATCATTCACAAAGTTGCATAAAGCAATAATATATAGGTTAACAAATTAAAAGAATTCTGAATATTGCTGCCAATCTAGGAGACTTTTCTAAGCATTAATTACATAACTAAATAAATGAGTTTTCTTCAAATTCTTTCTCTCTACATATACACAGTAGCACCAAAAGCAACAAGAACATAAAAACCTAAACGAGGAGCTACAATGCAGAAATAGTCCATTTCCATTCAAATGAAAATATTTTTTTCTTTAAAAATATGAGGGAAAAAATTGTAGATTCAAATAAAATTGGCTGTGGCAGAGATTAAGAGCCACAAGAATAAATGGTTTTGTGACCATAATTATACAATGTTATAAAAAGGTGAGACAACTTTAAAATATATACTATTTAGCGGCCAGCTTGTATCAGAGGACTTAACTAACAGACAATAATACCTTATTAATTTTTAAGTCTGAAACTTTCTAATAAATTTCGGTTATTCAAAGCCAAGCTTGTACACACCTGTCCCTTGGAGAAAGGAGCTCCGATGATCCCTATGGATTTTGACTTGGAACTCATGCTCCAACTCTTCTTGTCACTGCACCCAAGTTCTCCAGCCAGTCACCGCTTTCTGCAGCCCTCAGTGACAGAAGGCACATATTTGTTTTCCATTTATAATTGGTTTGAATCTGTTTACCTATTCTAATGAAGAAGACTGGCTCCACCTACCGAACCAAACGGTGACAGTCAACTGAAGTCTCGCAAGTTCTTCATATGGGGAATAACCATATATCCTCCTAGTCCAGGTCTCTAAGTGAGATCATTCATGTCCCCAATTCACAGCCATCTGACAAAGTCAGCTGGTGACACTAATCTTCCCTAATCACAACCTTGATTTCCTAAACATAATAGTCTTTTCTAATCATAATCTTTACAAAAGTAATGCTCTGGTCCTAGTTGGGGAAGGGCACTTGCTTCCTTCAGCCTTTGAGTCCTTCTGCATCAAAAAGGCTGGGACTAGCAAAATGATCTCCCACATCCCTTCAAGCCCTACAACCCTGAGTTCAGGTTTCACATACTAGGATTAAGAGTTAATCCATGAAGCATATTTCATATACCACTAGGGTACAGTCTTAGTGAAAGCATATGACTTCCTTTTCTGATTATTATTTAAAGAAAAATTTAACTGCCTGATTAAGGTGTTACTATATGAATTTTGAAATATGGTGTGTAGGAAAATAATAGTTTCTGGAATCATAATATCAAAATCAAAATATAGAAGTAAAAATAGCCAACACTGAGTTTTTATCACGTGCCAGATGCTATTGTGTTTTATAATATCGCATTAAATCTTTGTACCGCTTCATGGCAAGTCTCTTCATTAGTGCCATTTTACTAATAAAGAAACTGAAACTCTGAGAGGTTGCCAAATGTCACACACAGGTTGTAGAGGAAGACACATAATTTACTCTTAGGCATTCTGGACCCACCTAACCTCTGGGCCAAGTGTCAGCTGTTCATGCCTGTCAAACCTGTGTGGGAAGTTGCTTATTGTCATGCAAAGATATAGATTTAGAAGAAATGCACCCTAAAATTCTTCCAACTTTAAAATGACATGATTGTAATTTAAAAGGAAGATTCACCTAGTAGAAACTAATTTCTTTTCTCTATTAGGACAGAATATTGTGGAGTATTAAATTCCATGAGGGCAGAGAATTTTGTCTGCTGTATCCCCAGGATCTAGTACTATGCCTATATGTGGTAGGCACTCACTAAATATTTATAGAATGAGTGAATGAGGAAACCAAGGTCCCACAGATCTATTTTAATAAGGCCATTTTCCAAATAGGCCTATCTTTTACTTGCGGATTTGCTTATATATCATAGATATTAACTTGTGGTATTTTGTATAGTCAGATATTAACCTCTTATGGCATTGACATTGCAAATAAATTTTCCCTACTGTCAGTAATCTGGTAACTTTGTATATGTTATCACTTAAAATCTTTAATTTTTAAATAGACGACTAAATAACTTTCTCCTTATGCTTTGTGCTTTGGAAGTTTTAAGTCCTTCCTACTCCAAAATCACAAATATATTATTCTATTTGCTTTAGAGTTTATCTTTCACATTTAGTTCTTTAATCCATCTATACCATCTTTGTATATTATATATGTTTTCCAACTATATTTTTCCCTATGTAGTCCATCAGTTTCCTCAGCAACACCCATTGAACACTTTATCCATTTTGCCTCATTGATTTGAGTAGTATCTCCATCACATACCAACTTTACACACGCATATATCTGTGGCTGAGCTCTTTCTTCTGTTCTATTTTTTCTTTTTCTTTTTTTTTTTTTTTTTAGGTGAGGTAACTCTTGGTCAACCTCACAGATTGCAAGGACCTTGTCAGTTTATAATCCCTTATTTTTTATTTATTTATTTTTTAATTTTTTATGCCTATGGCACCTGGTCTTCCTAGGTGGTCTCTCATCCAAGTACTAACCTGCTTAGCTTCCAAGATCAGACAGGATCGAGCTTGTTCAGGGTGGCAAGGCTGTAGACTTTCTTCTGTTCTATTGGCTTTTATACCTGCGGATGCTCCAGGTCCACACTGTTTTATTATCATGACTTGATGGTATAACTTATCATTCTTTGGACGGAAGTAACATTTTTGCTCTTCTTTTTCAAAATTGATTTAGTTATTCATGGGCGTCTCTATTCTCCTATATGTTTAGAATAAGTTGTTAGATTTAAAAAAAATCTCTGCTAGAATTTTTACTAAATTTATAGACTAATCAATGGAGATTTGCTATCTTTCAAATTTAATTCCCTGTATTTAAAAAAAAAAAAAAACTCTATCATTTGAAAGTTCCTCCTATATCAAGCTGAGACTGCCTTCCTGTTATTTGACCCATTGATCATAACCCTTTAATCCAAGTAAAACACACTATCTCTTGACTGTCAGGTCTTTCTTGAGTCTTCTACTGTTTAGCTTAAATACCAGCACCTTGATCTTAGACTTCAGAACTGTAAGAAGTACATTTCTGTTGTTTAAGCTACTCAATCTGTGTTATTTTGTTATAGCTGCCTGAGCTAAGACATAATCATTATTTATTTTTCACTCAGATAACTTCAGATGAGGTCAATGTTTCAAGTGGACTCCTGTATCTTTCTTTACATGACTCCCACATTTATCAAGCACTTTCCTACTCTCGGGCACCATGAGTTATTCCAAGCTTACCTTGTACTTCACCCTGGGACTAGCCATTTGTCCAAGGAGCCTTAGCTCCTTTTATCTGGGAATGCTATGTGGAAACCAAGATCTGGGCACCAGGAGTGCCATTGGTACCTGAAATTATTGTTTCTAGGCTCTTGCAGCGGACAGAGCTAGGAAATATATGTATGTACACACAATGCGTACACACATCCCTATTCCTATATCTATCCATCTGAAACTATAGTAAAAATCATGTTTTTACTGCTTGGAGAATAACGAAGTATACTGATCCTCTAATCCAATGCCATAGAATTCAAGAATTTATTCTAACCTTCTGTTTCTCCTTATTTGTAACTCCCTTTTCTGACAGGGAGAAACCAGCTCTCATTGTCCACATTCTATTCGTTTGCCATGTGTATTTCTTCTTTAAATTCCTCATAAAGTTCTTTGTCCATCATTTGTTCTCTCTTCCCCCAATAATTTTTAAAAGCTCTTTTTATATTAAGGCTATTAGTCCTTTGTTGCTCAAATGTGTTGCAAATATGTGTTACTTTTACATACATATTACTTTTTTGTTTTTGTAGTTGAAAGTATTTTTCTTAACTTCAAAAAATTAAATTCATCAACTGGTATTTACTTTCTTATAAATACTTATAAACTTGAGAAAATGGAAGAAAGCAATGTGCACTGCTCAGCTTTACCTTAACGCCTCCTGCAGGGAAATAGCTGCACTCAGTGGGACTTCATTTTTCTATGTAAACCCAATCCATACCCTTGCATGAGGATGAGCAACTATAACATAAGTGGAAAAATCCACATTCAGTAACAACTCACGGATTCACACTAACTTGGAAGAAGGCCAATCTGAGGGAAAAGTTTGAATTATGGAATTATTCAAGAAAATGTTGCTTTTTTACCTTCAAATAAAATAGTAACTAACAGTGCTGACACTTTTGAAGGACTAGATATATAACTGACATATCAAATACAAGCAAATACGACGAGATGATGTTGCTAAAGTGATATGTATCTTAAATTATCTTAACTAGGTTAAACATTCTCATAAACATTGTGTTATTTACGGTATTGATATATTTAGCCAGCTCTCTTTTTCTACCAAATGTTCAACTGTAAACGAGCCCAGAAAAATTACTACAAATATTAAGTGGGAAAAAAATAAATTTTTTTTTCCATTTATGTATTAATATATGCACTAATGAATGGTGTATCTATTTAGTCGTACTAGTTGGATTTTTCAAAGTAGCTGACTAAACATCACTTTTTGCTTTTACTTATCCATAGCTTGCCATACTGTTGTGATGGACTTCACATCAACATTCATTATAATTATCATTTGGTCTTTGCTCATGTTAGTTATGGATTTTGTTCCCTCAGTGTTGTTTAGATGAAAGCTTATTATGGAAAGGGGGACTTAAAAACATCTTTTTAAAGGTAAGGCCATGACACACTCCTACCTACTTTACTTGATATAAACAATTAAGGGATGATTGTGAAATGTGTAAATAAGCATTAAGTAAGTAGATTGCAAGTAACTGGTTCAAGTAGACCAGTGCATCAGGACAGCAGAGGCTAATACTCTGCCAGGAAGGCAGAGGACTAAGCAACACCTGAAACTATCTGTGCTGTGCATGGTGGCTTTTAGAAAACACTTGAAAAGATCATTCTTGAGTAGCATGTAGCATATGAACTCACCAAACCTCATTATCTTTTAAGATCTGAGCTTAGACAATAAAACTTAATCTCATATGGAAAGTGGACTGTAGCCCTCAATCCTGGGGCAATTTTAAAATTACTTTCTTTAAGCATTTTATCAGTTGTTAACATACTTATTAACGAAAACTATATAACAAGATCACAGAAAGTTTGATTAAGAAGAGGAGAAAGACTCTGGTTTCTTACTGCCCTGAGCAGCTTTCTCAGTCAACTCATGACACTCAGTTCCAATAACTCTCAACCTGCAGAGCAGTTATTGTCAGGAAAAGTCATTGCATCATTTAATAACACATTATTCTAGAAGTTGCATTCTAACGCCCTCTATATTAAGGGGCCATGTTTTTATTTTTTCCCACTAAAAGCATTTGATAAGCACTCAAATAAATACTTGTTAGACTGACTGGATAAAGAATTTTAGGAGGAAATTTTTAGGGTTTTAATCAGAACCTTTAGTTTAAACAACGTTCAAAGGGTCACTTATACAACTTTAAAAGATATGATAATAATCTGAGGCATTTGCTTGGCATTTTACAATGTTCAATGCACTTTAAAGTTATTTATATCATTTGATCTTTGATTTTTAGTCATATAGTCCCACTTTCTCAAGTGCAAATGAACTCAGAGAGGCTGGTTGATTTGCCCCAAGTCTCGTTATAACTGGTAAAGCTAACTTTGAGCTGCCTTATTTTTAGTCCAAATGTTATTATTTTACTGGATAATTTTAAAATATTATCTGCCATTTGGTTACAGGTTTATGCTGTACAAATATCAGATATTACAAGATGACCCTCTTAAAAATTAATGTTAAAACAATTTTATCCAAAAGCTGCCCCAAAATTGTTTAAACAAAACTCTTTGTTTGCAGGTACCTTGGTCAGCAACGAAGAATGGCTCATCAAGATTGGTTTACTCTTGATTTTATTAAAGAATATCAACACCGACTTTTAGATTGATCTTAAAATATCTGGCTGGAAATTTCTTCAATCAATGATATTTTATACCTGCATCTATTAATAAATGATCAAGGTTTGAACCAACATATAAGAGACATCCTTGGGTGCAGTTTCGATTCACTACAGACCCATCTCCTTGGGTTGCTTTTTAGTATCATAAAATTCATCTTTTGGAAAGACTAGGAGAAGCAGTCTGTGAAGTCTATATCCATATTTGCTGTGAGGATGTTATTGAGGTCATCATGTACCATATTTTTAAGTGTTCCTTACATGCAGTCCTCTCGGTATTTTCTTTCAGAACAGAGTGCTAGCAAACCTTTTCTTAGCCTGAGAAACTCTAAGTATTCTTCTTTTGGACAATGAATACTATACAACTGACTTTTGGGGGGGGGCGTTATGTTTTCTAGGACGCTCAAAGCCAAATTTGTGTCCCATCTGTAGCTAATTATGTTGGATAGTATTATGTGAATGTGTGTGTGTGTGTGTGTGTGTGTACTTCGCTTTCATTTTACCTGATCTTGATTTTTAATTTATTTTTGACTATTATATTTTATGTGTTGCCTAAAAGCACCCTCAAATTCTTCCTACTCTCAAAGCATTGCAAAAAATAAGTAAGCAATTAAATAGCAAATTTAAAATGTTTTCTACGGCTGTGTCACCCTGAATGTGCCTGATCTTGTCTTATCTCAAAAGCTAAGCAGGGTTAGTACTTGGATGGGAGACCACCTAGGAAGGCCAGGTTCTACAGGCGTTAAAAAATACATAAAAATAAAATGTTTTGATATCCTCCTTTTTCTTGAAATGCCATAGGCTGATTTATTTGTATCTGTTGAAAAAAGAGATTCTAAATCAGTTCCTCAGTTTTCAAATAGAAACAGAGGAACAGCCACAAAGCACCAAAAGTATAAAAATGCAGACTTTATTAAGAATAAGTGGTTTCTCAATTGGGTGGACCTAGTCACTGTTCCTTTCTCAGATTTGGGAATATCCACTGCTTTCCATTCTCACTGGAAGTCTAGCTTCTGAGCATAGTACCTCTAGAGTTTCAAAAATTTTGCCAACAAAACAGTTGGAAGCAAGGCTGTGAGTGGTATTTACTGCGTAACGTCCAGGAACTTGGTTGCCAAATTCTATTGCAAGTGAACATCCCGGAGGGTTTGTACTATTGGCAGGAACTTCTATTGTTTTCAAGGATTTCAGACAATTGTATGCATGTTCAAGGTCTGATGCTTTCCATATTGACAGAAAAAAGTCACGCTTGTGTAGTTTTAGTATCAGTTGAATTCATAATGGTGTTATAAGCAAGTAAAGTTACTTTTCCTAGAGAAGGCTTAGAGAAAATTATGTTTAAAATATTTATAGGACAAATGCCCATAAACATACTTTCTGGTTGATTAAAAAAAAAAGAAGAAGAATTCAAGATTGCAATGGGAAAAGAAAGTGAGCAAATGGTGACCTCTTCATTCATTACAATCTGAAGAATTATCTCCTACTCATTCATTCATTCATCATTCATTCAACAAATATTTATGAGAACATACTTTGTATCAGGCAACTTCTCTCTATTTCTAGCATGAAAGTAATGGATATATACAAACTAATATAAGACAAAACTCCTAAGGAAAGTGTTAGTCATCTGTGTGGTTTTCTATAAAACAGACATACTTTCATGTAAGTTTTACATCCAAGCATGAATATCTCTAATGAGATTGGAGATATTTATCATTTCAGTTAGGCAACTCCCAGTTATTCAGTGGATGTTTTGTCAGTTTCCTCAAAATTTTTCTTTTTCTTCCTGATGGTAGACCAAAATGATATCTTTTTTCTTATTAAAGATGATAAAATATTTAAATTATTGTAAAATATTTAAATTATTAAAAATTAAAAAGCAAAAATGAACATTACCCACAATTCTACCTCCCTTATATAAATACTGCTAATATTCTACTATGTTACTTTCTAATATTTTATGTATTTACATGTTTTGTTCATTGGGAACAATTTTATATCTTGCTTTTTTTCTCTTAGAACTTTTTTCTGAACATTTCCAATATTATTAAAAATTCTTTGAAGAATGTTTCTAATGCTCCTAAAGAGATACCAATATTCTATCAAAACATTGTACCATAATTTGTTTGAATGATAAATATTTAGATTGTTTTATTCTTCACTACTATTAAAAATATGGGTATAGTCACTATGGGAAACAGTGTGGAGGAGGTTCCTCAAAAAAATTAAGAATAGAGCTACCATATGACCTAGCAATTCCTCATCTGGGTATCTATCCAAAAAATTTGAAAACATTTGTCTGTAAAGATGTATGCACCTCGATGTTCATTGCAGCATTATTCGTGGTGACCAAGACATGGAAACAACCAAAGTGTCCTTCGATAGATGATTGAATAAAGAAGATATGGTATATATATACAATGGAATATTATTCAACCATAAGAAGAGATGAAATACTGCCATCTGTGACGATGAGATTAAATCCTGAGAACATCATGTTATGCAAAATAAGTCAAATAGAAAAAGTCAAGAACCATATGACTTCATTTATATATGGGATATGAAAGTGAAAGCAACAAATGAACAAATAAGACAAACGCAGAAACAAAAACTCATAGACGCAGAAAACAGTATGGTGGTTTCCAGAGAGAAAGTGGGGCTGGCAGCGGGAGGGCGACGTAGAAAAGGGTAAAAAGGGTCAAATATATGGTGATGGAAGGAGATTTAATTTTGGGTGGTGAACACATAATACAGTATACAGATGATGTATTATAGAATTGTACATTTGAAACATAATTTTATTAACCAATGTCACCCCAATAAATTTAATAAAATTTTTAAAAAGAAAAAAATATCATGTTCCTCTTTAAAGGTTATTCAATGTCTGATTTTCCATAAACAAAACGCAAATGAAGCACAGAGGCATTAGATATAATAAGTGCCGAGTTTAGGCTTCTCTCTTTTTGCCTATGCCAAGAACTTTGATTCCTGAGTGGATAAGTATTTCATGGATTAAAAACTCTAATTTTCCGAAAAGGTTTGTCGATGTAATAAATAAGCATTCATTTGTGGATGGAGAAATCGATATCCTTAACAAGCATAATAATTTGGCACTTCTAGGCCAACATGATGCCTTAGCATTTAGAGGCCATGGTTGTGTTGAGAAAATAAGTAACATAGACCAAAGTTATTTTTATCATTTTTGCTTGAAACTTTCCTTTTCCCCAAGCCAGTCTGTTTTATTTTCTATTTTCTCTTATGATGAAATGCACCTCTGCAATCTAACGTGGTAATTATTAAAAATTATCATTCACGTATCAAATTTGCAACATGAGGTGAAACGCTCATAGATAGAATGCAAAACTGTATAATTGTGCATCTACCACATGTGAACCTGAACAAGTAATTAACCTTGTAGTGTCAAAGGGCTTCTAATGTCTTCACTGGGAAGCTATAAAGGCTTCTGAGAGAATAGATGGATAGATATGGAAACTCTTTGAAAGAAAGTCTTTCCATTTATTTCTTATGCCTAGGAAACACAGTATGAGTATTTTGTTATAAGCCAAGTAAGTCATTATAATTGTTAATACATGGAAAAATCATGTTGTTGTTAAATAGCAGATGTGTGCCAAAATTCTGTTTTACTTTAAACTCTTCCCACAGGCCGTTGTCTTGTCAGGATCATATAACTGAGCCAAATGAACATTTGGCAAATGTTTGTTTACTCTCATTAATATAAAGACATATCCTATTCATCAGGTCCTAAGTGGGTAGTTTCTTGATTAAACAACATGGTTAGTTCTCTTCACCTTACCAAAGACAACAGAGAATCTTAGAGCAGTATTTTACTCTGTGTTACTTCAATACAGTAAAAGATGCTTACATGAATGAGTTTATCCACTCTACAGGCTCTCGTTCAACTGCCAAGATAGATCTAATAGCGAATGAGAGTATCTTAGCATCTTAAAGCAGAGGCAGCTCTCATAGGAATGAGAACCAGGAGATGCTGAGCATCAGGCAGCTACTTTCTTAAACATTGTAAAGGTTCAGTTGCAAGGGGAGTTTGGAGTTCTGTCTTATGATTCTTTCCTCATGGTAATTTATGGGGCATATGACTATTAGGATTCCATGTGTCATAATAGGAAGGAAGATAGTGCAATATGGTGAAAAGTCTATAGATCTTGGAATCAGAAAGATCTAGATTTGAATACTGAGTATTTGACTTTGAACAACATTTGCAAAATGGGAATAATAATAACTCAATGATTCTTGGAAGAAAATATTAACTAATACATGTAATATAGCCAATATGTATTTTATGATTTAATAAAAATTACTTGATCGGGCAAGGCAGTGTCTTTATCTGATGTTAATGACCCAATGCAGAGATATTCCAGAGGAGAGTGACTTGCAAAAATTACCTTCTGTGTGAATTAAAAGCCTAGAGTTCTTCAAAACAAAGATTTCTTCATTACTTGTGAAATAGGTGTCTTAACAGAAACTGTTAGCAGAGTGGCTGATCAGTAACAAAAATTGATCTATTTGTCACTAAGGAAAGCAATTGGAAGTTAAAAGCCTCCACCCCAAGAATGGATTTCCTATCCTCTAATTCCCGACAGGCCACTCAGAGATTTTATCTGATCTCTTCCATTAAAAAAAAAAAAAAAAAACTCTAAAAGAGAAATTAATACTTACTAATTAACTAAAAAGCAGAATTTGGGGCATCTGCTCTTGAACAGTAAATTAGGTGGGGTGAGGAGGGCCATTGAAACACAGCCTCCAAAGTGCCCTCATGATTGAAGTAGGGCTGCCTGGTTGTACTAGTCACCTTTAAAGCTTCTAGCCTATGCCACCCTGCATGCTGTGAGCCATAAATACTTAGGTATATACAGTAGATTTTCTTCTTTGTAAAACTATAAATGTTTATCAAGAACCAGAAAGCCCATTTCCAGAGCTTAATCCAACAAGTATTAACTTTACCTGCATGTGAGAATTTCCTGGAGAGACTTTAAAAAACAGCAATGATTCCTCCTCCCCTACATCCCACCTCCGAGACCTAATAAATCAGAACTTCTACGGGGCAGGGACTGACCACGGCATATTTTGGTTTAAGTCATTGTATTTCAAACTTTAACATGCATCAGAATCACATCGAGGGCATGTTAAACATAGATTGCTACCCTACTTCTAACATAGTGTTTTTGCCTAGTATAGGTGCTCTAAAAATATTTGCTGAATAAACAGTGCCAGGTTTGCATTTGAAAAGAACAAATTTCAGGAATAGGCTTGACTGACTTAGTGTCCATGATGGGCTTGGGATCCATGAGCTCCTGAATATTTCATTGTCTGCAATATTTCATGGGCATATGCCTATGTGCATTCAGAGTGCAGTTCTTCACTTTCATCCAATTCTTAAGAAGAGGCTGTGACCTAGAAATGTTACAGGTCACTCTTATGGAGATTAAACGTTATTTTCCTTTAGGCTTTTGTCTTTATGAATAGAGTAAAGAAAATAAAAGCAGTCTTTTGTTTTCCAAAAAATTAAAATAAATAAATAAATTTCAGTATTGACAAGCACAAAAAGTATTGCGTCTTATTAAAAATAATAAAATAGCCATTAAAGACACTAGCCTGCCATATAAGAGCCTTTTTGCAAATGATGCATTACCCATCTTTTGAAGAGTGCATCTATGCTTGTTTTACTTTGAACAGATATTACTGCAGATTTAAAAATAAAGGTTAAGACTATTGTCTCTCCAGGGAAGGAGTTTGTCCTACCATCTTTGTCCCCCTAATGCCTGCCCAGGAGAGGCACACAATAATTGGTTGAAAGTGGGATGATATTGATAATACACATTACTCAATTTTGAAAAAGCATACAAGAAATATTAATAAAATATTAATAAAATAAAATAGTTGTAAGTTGGAAATTTTTTATTTTCAAATATGTATTTTTATTTTTTTCCTTCCCCTCAGCCAGTTCTTGCCCTTTAAGACTCAAAAAGTAACCTTATTCAAGAGAATTGCTGCATGCCCTCTCCTTTAACAAGTATATAACAATTATTATTTCTAAAAATATTAGGTTTTATTTTTTATAATGTTTGATTCATAAGCTAATACATTCATTATATTATTGTGTTGGTTACATACATTAACTGTTATGTCATGTCAATAAAATTGTAAAAATTATAATTACAGCTAAGAGTTGTGATTCTAAGGAGAGAAGCCCTCAGTCAACAGCCATCACCCCCAATGTGGTTAATTTTTTCTATGCCAGACGCTTCTTGAATTAACATACAACTTAATTTAGAGAAATTATCCCCTGTGTACTGTTCCATAGAGAGTCGAGTGAAAGCTCTGCTGATTACTGTTCACCAGGGTGACAAGAAATATAGCTATAACCTGCACCTCTTACAGCTCAGTCTCTCTCTCTCTCTCTCTCTCTGTTAGAAGGAAAGGGACTTCCAGAATTTTAAACTCATAAATAATTTTTTCCTGTAAAAGGAAATACTTTACTATGTTAATAAATATCTGCCCTTTCCTTTTGAAAGACTGCAGAATATTCCGTAATATGGACACATGATTGTTGCTTTGTTTTTTGTTTTTTGTTTTTTAACCAGGCCTCTGTTGATAAACATTTAGATTGTTTCCAACTTTTCTCTATGTTAACTTTAGCAATGAATATTAGTGTAAGTACAGCTTCCTGCCCTTGTCTTCCAGGAGGATTAGTGTACATATCATTATAGCTTTTCTACTTTCTACCCCAGCAGTCAAAAGTCTTGGCTATGAGC